GTGAGTTACGATGGTTTAGTTACGCTTACTCTCCTTTGTGTTTGTGTTTGTTATCTTAGTTTTATAAATGAGTAGAGTGAACAGAGGCAAGCAGGGTTGTGTTTAGTGCTTGTAATAAAACAATTTTTTGTAATTTCTGGAACTCATGTTTTTTCCATTTTGACCATAACGTAGGTTATTTTTTCTTTATTTTTAGAAAGCAACATCATACTGGCGGCAGAGGTGTCATGTGCGCCACTGCCTTAATGGTACTTAAAACAATTAGTTTGTGTAATTGTTTTTCATAATTTAGTAAATAAAGGCACTTGTGAATTATGATAAAGAAAATACAAATATTGTGTAAAAAAGTGAGTAGTAAAGGGCATTATAATGGTAGACTGTATGGAAGATGGTAGACTGTATGGGAGATGGTAGACTGTGTGGGAGATGGTAGACTGTGTGGGAGATGGTAGACTGTATGGGAGATGGTAGACTGTGTGGGAGATGGTAGACTGTATGGGAGATGGTAGACTGTGTGGGAGATGGTAGACTGTATGGAAGATGGTAGACTGTATGGGAGATGGTAGACTGTGTGGGAGATGGTAGACTGTGTGGGAGATGGTAGACTGTAGGGGAGATGGTAGACTGTGTGGGAGATGGTAGACTGTATGGGAGATGGTAGACTGTATGGGAGATGGTAGACTGTATGGGAGATGGTAGACTATATGGAAGATGGTAGACTATATGGGAGATGGTAGACTATATGGAAGATGGTAGACTATATGGAAGATGGTAGACTATATGGAAGATGGTAGACTGTATGGGAGATGGTAGACTGTATGGGAGATGGTAGACTATATGGAAGATGGTAGACTGTATGGAAGATGGTAGACTATATGGAAGATGGTAGACTATATGGAAGATGGTAGACTATATGGAAGATGGTAGACTGTATGGGAGATGGTAGACTGTATGGGAGATGGTAGACTGCATGGGAGATGGTAGACTATATGGAAGATGGTAGACTATATGGAAGATGGTAGACTATATGGAAGATGGTAGACTATATGGAAGATGGTAGACTGTATGGGAGATGGTAGACTGTATGGGAGATGGTAGACTGCATGGGAGATGGTAGACTGTATGGAAGATGGTAGACTGTATGGGAGATGGTAGACTGTATGGGAGATGGTAGACTGTATGGGAGATGGTAGACTGTATGGGAGATGGTAGACTGTATGGAAGATGGTAGACTGCATGGGAGATGGTAGACTGAAATGGGAGTGGTAGACTGTATGGGAGATGGTAGACTGTATGGGAGATGGTAGACTGTATGGAAGATGGTAGACTGCATGGGAGATGGTAGACTGTATGGGAGATGGTAGACTGTATGGGAGATGGTAGACGTATGGGAGATGGTAGACTGTATGGGAGATGGAAGACTGTATGGAAGATGGTAGACTGTATGGAAGATGGTAGACTGTATGGAAGATGGTAGACTGTATGGGAGATGGTAGACTGTAATGGAGATGGTAGACTGTATGGAAGAGGGTAGACTGTATGGAGATGGTAGACTGTATGGAAGATGGTAGACTGTATGGGAATGGTAGACTGTATGGGAGATGGTAGACTGTATGGAAGATGGTAGACTGTATGGAAGATGGTAGACTGTATGGGAGATGGTAGACTGTGTGGGAGATGGTAGACTGTATGGGAGATGGTAGACTGTATGGAAGATGGTAGACTGTATGGAAGATGGTAGACTGTATGGAAGATGGTGGACTGTATGGAAGATGGTGGACTGTATGGAAGATGGTAGACTGTATGGGAGATGGTAGGACTGTATGGAAGATGGTAGACTGAAATGGAAGATGGTAGACTGTATGGAAGATGGTAGACTGTATGGAAGATGGTGGACTGTATGGAAGATGGTAGACTGTATGGGTGATGGTAGACTGTATGGAAGATGGTAGACTGTATGGAAGATGGTAGACTGTAGGGAAAGGGATGGTAGACTGTATGGGAGATGGTAGACTGTATGGAAGATGGTAGACTGTATGGAAGATGGTAGACTGTAAGGGAGATGGTGGACTGTATGGAAGATGGTGGACTGTATGGAAGATGGTAGACTGTATGGAAGATGGTAGACTGTATAGAAGATGGTAGACTGTATGGGAGATGGTAGACTTTATGGAAGATGGTAGACTGTATGGGAGATGGTAGACTGTATGGAAGATGGTAGACTGCATGGGAGATGGTAGACTGCATGGAAGATGGTAGACTGTATGGAAGATGGTAGACTGTATGGGAGATGGAAGACTGTATGGAAGATGGTAGACTGTATGATGGGAGATGGTAGACTGTATGGAAGATGGTAGACTGTATGGGAGATGGTAGACTGTATGGAAGATGGAAGACTGTATGGAAGATGGTAGACTGTATGGGAGATGGTAGACTGTATGGAAGATGGTAGACTGTATGGGAGATGGTAGACTGTGTGGGAGATGGTAGACTGTATGGAAGATGGTAGACTGTATGGGAGATAGTAGACTGTATGGGAGATGGTAGACTGTATGGAAGATGGTAGACTGTATGGAAGATGGTAGACTGTATGGGAGATGGAAGACTGTATGGGAGATGGAAGACTGTATGGGAGATGGTAGACTGCATGGAAGATGGTAGACTGTATGGAAGATGGTAGACTGTATGGGAGATGGTAGACTGTATGGAAGATGGTAGACTGTATGGGAGATGGTAGACTGTATGGGAGATGGTAAGACTGTATGGAAGATGGTAGACTGTATGGAAGAGTGGGGACTGTATGGAAGATGGTAGACTGTATGGGAGATGGTAGACTGTATGGAAGATAGTAGACTGTATGGGAGATGGTAGACTGTAGGGAAAGATGGTAGACTGTATGGAAGAGGGTAGACTGTATGGAAGATGGTAGACTGTATGGAAGATGGTAGACTGTATGGAAGATGGTAGACTGTATGGGTGATGGTAGACTGTATGGAAGATGGTAGACTGTATGGAAGATGGTAGACTGTATGGAAGATGGTAGACTGTATGGAAGATGGTAGACTGTATGGGAGATGGTAGACTGTATGGAAGATGGTAGACTGTATGGAAGAGGGTAGACTGTATGGAAGATGGTAGACTGTATGGAAGATGGTGGACTGTATGGAAGATGGTAGACTGTATGGGTGATGGTAGACTGTATGGAAGATGGTAGACTGTATGGAAGATGGTAGACTGTATGGAAGATGGTAGACTGTATGGGAGATGGTAGACTGTATGGAAGATGGTAGACTGTATGGAAGATGGTAGACTGTAAGGGAGATGGTGGACTGTATGGAAGATGGTGGACTGTATGGAAGATGGTAGACTGTATGGAAGATGGTAGACTGTATAGAAGATGGTAGACTGTATGGGAGATGGTAGACTTTATGGAAGATGGTAGACTGTATGGGAGATGGTAGACTGTATGGAAGATGGTAGACTGTATGGGAGATGGTAGACTGCATGGAAGATGGTAGACTGTATGGAAGATGGTAGACTGTATGGGAGATGGAAGACTGTATGGAAGATGGTAGACTGTAGATGGGAGATGTAACTGTATGGAAGATGGTAGACTGTATGGGAGATGGTAGACTGTATGGAAGATGGAAGACTGTATGGAAGATGGTAGACTGTATGGGAGATGGTAGACTGTATGGAAGATGGTAGACTGTATGGGAGATGGTAGACTGTGTGGGAGATGGTAGACTGTATGGAAGATGGTAGACTGTATGGGAGATGGTAGACTGTATGGGAGATGGTAGACTGTATGGAAGATGGTAGACTGTATGGAAGATGGTAGACTGTATGGGAGATGGAAGACTGTATGGGAGATGGAAGACTGTATGGGAGATGGTAGACTGTATGGAAGATGGTAGACTGTATGGAAGATGGTAGACTGTATGGGAGATGGTAGACTGTATGGAAGATGGTAGACTGTATGGGAGATGGTAGACTGTATGGGAGATGGTAGACTGTATGGAAGATGGTAGACTGTATGGAAGATGGTGGACTGTATGGAAGATGGTAGACTGTATGGGAGATGGTAGACTGTATGGAAGATAGTAGACTGTATGGGAGATGGTAGACTGTATGAAAGATGGTAGACTGTATGGAAGAGGGTAGACTGTATGGAAGATGGTAGACTGTATGGAAGATGGTAGACTGTATGGAAGATGGTAGACTGTATGGGTGATGGTAGACTGTATGGAAGATGGTAGACTGTATGGAAGATGGTAGACTGTATGGAAGATGGTAGACTGTATGGAAGATGGTAGACTGTATGGGAGATGGTAGACTGTATGGGAGATGGTAGACTGTATAGAAGATGGTAGACTGTATGGGAGATGGTAGACTTTACGGAAGATGGTAGACTGTATGGGAGATGGTAGACTGTATGGAAGATGGTAGACTGTATGGGAGATGGTAGACTGTATGGAAGATGGTAGACTGCATGGAAGATGGTAGACTGTATGGGAGATGGTAGACTGCATGGAAGATGGTAGACTGTATGGGAGATGGTAGACTGTATGGAAGATTGTAGACTGTGTGGGAGATGGTAGACTGTATGGAAGATGGTAGACTGTATGGAAGATGGTAGACTGTATGGGAGATAGTAGACTGTATGGGAGATGGTGGACTGTATGGAAGATGGTAGACTGTATGGAAGATGGTAGACTGTATGGAAGTGATCATGATGTGTTCGCCGGTGTGAATGCCAATAATTTGCAGTTAACTGTAGCTAACTCACTTAATAATTTGATACATATTCTTAGCTAGACGAGTGACGAGGTGTCTTACCCGGCCAGCAGTGTTAATAGTGCATGTTTTTGATTGAATAATAGTTGTTAATTCTTTGCAGTAAGTGACATGGCGGTAGGTAACCGGGACTCCGGATCAGGATGGTGGGACACTAATGGTCACCTGCCATTACGTTTTCTTTAGGCCAGGAATAATAAGGCTTGGTGTTTTAGTAATTATTATTAGCAGGGCGGTTTACAATAGTAATTTACTTAGGTTTTATTCTTATATAACAATGTATACATTTACAGCGGCGTGTAGAGGTTAGGTGGTAAAGGTGTTATGGAAATAATTTTTAAATTATGTAAATATAACTTTTGCTACATAGTGTAGGCCTTAATTCGACTTTCCTGCTGGTCACACAAATTTCTTTACCTGGGAACTTGTTCAGTTATATTTGTGGCTTCCAGGCGATTTCATTATTTTATTTAGCTCAGTGTTTGTGTTCTAGAAAGTTAGATATTCATCCCACAGCACAAACATCTGCTCACATTTATACATATGTCTCTACCTTACAGTATTTCTTATTTGATCTCATTCCTACAATGGTTTCTCTCCAATTTAGAAGACCTGATCTGAGACCGGGCAACAGAAAACAGATCTCTGGAACAATTATCATATATCAGATATATATCACAATTATTGAATATTATATTCCTGAGCATTGCAACGCTTAGATGATGCAAATCTTGTTCCGTCAAGACAATGGCAATGCTTTCAAAGGTTTTCAGAGGATGGTGTTTTGTCTCTGTCGACGCAGTTCGGTGAAGTGTTAAGGATGTGGAAGGTTAATTGTAGAGCACCCAGTAGACAGCGTTGAAAGCGATGAAAGAGGCTGGGTAGAGAACACGGAAGCAACGGTCTAACCAGAGGGCAGCAACGTTACCACGCATCCCTACTCTCTCTTCTGTCAGGTCAGGCTGTAAGAGTGCAAATGTATAATTAATTATCTGGTTCAGTCTTACTCAGTTCTCTCTCTCTCTCTCTCTCTCTCTCTCTCTCTCTCTCTCTCTCTCTCTCTCTCTCTGTACACAGTGTTCCTAACGCTTGTTTGCTATGTTTTTTGGGGGCAAGTTAAGAGCTGTTACCTACATCAGCTCATTTGAGAACCTTTTATTGTTATGGTATATTCTTATCCGGTCACCTACGGCTCACTTTCCATAAAATATTGATGGAGTCTGACAGTAGTAGTGAAGCTCCATTGAAAAGAGAGAAGCTCCCAACAGTTTCACATTGTTGAAAAATGGGCATAAGTCCAATAGATGTTAATAACGACATTGTACTTAACATGTTTGATATACTAACGAAGCCACATTAGAACTTACTCTACTTTTCTCAGAAAATAATCCCAACTCTTCAAGCCCAGTCCCTAAGGATTCCTGAGTTATTCACAATATACATAATGCACATAAATAAGGGAATCACCAGACTCTGGTGGAATGGTGACTAAAGCTCTCGCTTCACACGGCAGGTGTCTGGAGTTTACCTGGAGAGAGTTCCGAGGCTCAACGCCCCCGCGGCCTTGTCCGGGTTCGATTCCCAGCCAGGGTAGAAACATTCGGCGTGTTTCTTTACACTTGTTGTCTATGTTAACCTATCAGTAAAATGGGTATCTGGGTGTTAGTGAACTTGTGTGGGTCGCATCCTGGGACACTGACCTAATTTGCGGAAAATGCTCAGCATAACAAGTGGCTTTCTATATAGCAGTATGTCATTGATGTCAGTTATGGTCCGTATACCTTATGCATGTACTTATAGTAAATAAAGATATTAATAGTAGCATAAGCAAGATTGCCCATGACAATAAAATAGGGCTGAGGTCAGTGGCCAGTACGCTGAGGTCATTGATCACTTGCTGTCATACCTGCCATGGTGCTTGGTAACAGCGTGGGCTGTTACCAAGCACCATGGCTTGTTGTAGTGTTTTAGAATCTCAGGTTCAAGTGTTGAAGAAGAAGATTCTACTTCTTCAGGAGGAAAATAGGAGGCTGAAGTTTCGCATAGATGAGTTTGAGAGCGAGTGTGAGAAGGATTTAGCTGGTAAGGAGGAAATGGTCACCAGCAGTGATAGTGGCAGCCGCTTTAAGTGGCAAGTGGTTCACAGTTCAGGAAGAAGGAAGATGAGGAGAGTTAATAGAGAAGATGTGAAGGTAGGAAATCGATTCTCTGTTCTCCAGGACGAGTGTACTTCAGTGGTTAGTGAGGTTGAAGGTACCACTGATTCCCCTGCTAATCAAGGTAAGAATATTTTAATAGTAGGCGATTCTCAGGTAAGATATATGTACCGTGCATTTTATAACAGAGACAGAAAGGTCAGACAGTGTGTGCCTTCCTGGAGCTGGTGTTGGCGACATAGTCAGCCGGTTGGATAATATTATGGCAGGTAATGGGAACAAGCCCATTACCTGTCTTAGTGCTGGGGGTAATGACATTGGGAAGGGCAGGAGAGAGGAGCTGCTGGATAAGTACAGGTCAGCCATAGAAGTAATTAGGTCTAAGGGAGGGATCCCAGTCATATGTAGCATCTTGCCTAGAAAGGGAGTGAGCAATGAATGGATGTCTAGGGCAATTGGTATAAATTGCTGGCTAGACAGGTACTGCAAGGAGCTTGCAATCCCATTCATTGATAACTGGAACCTCTTCTTTGGCAAACGTGATATGTATGCAAGGGATGGGGTTCATCTCTCTGGGGATGGAGTGGTTGCATTAGCCAATTCAATTGAGAGGGTAATTGATGACTTGTCTAGGAATTTAAACTGATAGATTATAGAGGTATGGGTGTTGTGGGAAACAATCAGGCTGCAGCATTAGGGTTAAAAACAGCAGTTATTACCGGGATACCTCAGGGATATGTTTAAAAGACAACATTCAAAATAAAGTTGCTAGTAATGGCAAATCAATTGATCAACAAACAAAAAAAGATAGAGGGCAACGAGTGACTAGCTCCCTTAAGGTTTACTATACAAATAGTAGGAGTCTAAGAAATAAGATAGATGAGCTAAGATTACTTGCAAGTGCAGGTAATATAGATATTATTGGTATAACAGAGACCTAGTTCAACCTGAAAGATAGAGAAATGCCTTCTGAATGCAACATACAGGGTTATAAATTATTCCACACTGATAGGGTCAACAGGAAGGGTGGTGGAATGGCGATGTACGTTAGAGAAAATTTAAATTGTTGCCTTAGACATGATATAAGATTAGAAACATCGGACACAGAATCTGTTTGGCTACAGTTTCTCGAGGGACGTGACAAATTAATTTTGGGTGTGATTTATAGGCCCCAAACCTTGATAGGGAGTGCAGTAAGCTGTTATGGGACGAAATTCATAAGGCATCTAGATATGAAAATGTTGTGATAATGGGAGATTTTAACTTTACACAAATTGATTGGAATAATATGACAGGAAATCTTGAGTCTAGTGACTTTCTTGATACGGTTCAGGATTGCTTTTTAGAGCAGGTTGTGACAGAACCAACTAGAGGAAACAATCTGCTTGACTTGGTTCTTGCCAACAAAGATTCACTAATTAATAATCATGAGGTTAATGATGAGATTGGGGAAAGTGATCACAAATCACTTAGTTTCAATATAACATGGAATTACCCAGATAACTGCTATCAAATCTCTGTCCCAGATTTTCGCTTGGCCAACTTCATGGGACTGAAAAATTACGTGGATTGGCTAAATTGGGATGTCCTGACTATGGGTCAGGTAGGTGATCTTGGTTGCCAATATGACGTTTTTCAGAGCATAGTTCTAGCTGCCAAGACAACTTTTGTTCCGAGTAGGAAAATTAGATCTAACAAAAATAATCCCAAATGGATGAACAATAGATTAAAACTTCTAATTGGCCAAGAGAGAGGCATATATAGGCGTATCAAAAGAAGGGATGGGCAGTTAAGAAATCAATATATTCAATTAAAAAGAGAAATAAAGAAAGGAACGAGAAAAGCGAAAAGGGATTATGAGGCTAAGGTCGCAAGGGATTCAAAGACTAACCCAAAAGGGTTCTTTCAGGTAAACAGAAGTAAGATTAGGGACAAGATTGGCCCACTTAAGAGTAACTCGGGTCAGATCACAGACAGTGATAAGGATATGTGTGAAATTCTCAATACCTACTTCCTCTCAGTTTTCACCCAGGAAAATACTAGCAATATTCCTGAAATAATAGATTATGTAGAACAGGATAATAAACTATGTACGATTGCGGTAACTAGTGACATGGTCCTCAGACAAATAGAAATACTAAAACCTAACAAATCCCCAGGTCCTGATGAACTGTTTGCAAGGGTGTTAAAGGTATGTAAAGAGGAACTTAGCATACCTTTGGTTACTCTTTTTAACATATCACTACAAACTGGCATAGTGCCTGATAAGTGGAAAATTGCATATGTAATACCTATTTACAAGGCAGGTGACAGGTCCTTGGCTTCGAACTATAGACCAATAAGCCTTACCTCCATAGTGGTAAAATTTATGGAATCAATTGCCGAATCAATTCGTAGCCATCTTCATAGGCACAGATTGATTAATGAATCTCAACACTAAGGAGGCAGACCATGGTAATGAATATGATATTGTGTATATGGACTTCAGTAAGGCTTTCGATAGAGTTCCACATCAGAGGCTATTGAGGAAACTTAAGGCATATGGAATAGGAGGAGAAATTTTTTCCTGGGAAGAGGCATGGCTGACAAATAGGCAGCAGAGAGTTTGCATAAATGGGGAGAAATCAGAATTGGGGCACGTCACAAGCGGTGTTCCTCAGGTGTCAGTGTTGGGCCCGTTGTTGTTCACAATTTACATAAACGACATAGATGAGGGAATAAATAGCGACATAAGCAAATTTGCTGATGACACCAAAATAGGCAGTCCAATTAATTCTAATGAGGACACTAGAGCACTCCAGGATGATTTGAATAGACTGATGCAATGGTCGGAGAAGTGGCAGATGCAGTTTAATATTGACAAATGCAAAGTTCTAAATGTTGGACAGTTAAATAACCATGCCACATATAAACTAAATACAGATCTTAATACTGCTGATTGCGAAAAGAATTTAGGAGCTCTGGTTAGCAGTAATCTAAAACCAAGACAACAGTGCATTAGTGTTCGCAATAAAGCTAACAGAATTCTTGGCTTCATATCTAGAAGTATAAATAATAGGAGCCCTCAGGTTGTTCTTCAATTCTATATATCCTTGGTTAGGCCTCATTTAGACTATGCTGCTCAGTTCTGGTCACCGTATTACAGAATGGATATAAATGCTCTGGAAAACGTACACAGGAGGATGTCAAAGATGATCCCATGTATCAGAAATCTTCCCTATGAGGATAGACTGAGGCCCGAATCTGCACTCTCTTGAAAGGCATAGAATTAGGGGGGATATGATCGAGGTGTATAAATGGAAACCAGGAATAAATACAGGGGATGTAAATAGCGTGCTGAAATTTTCCCGCCAAGACAGGACTCGCAGCAATGGTTTCAAGTTGGAAAAATTCAGATTCAGGAAGGGTATAGGAAAGCACTGGTTTGGTAATAGAGTCTTGGATGAGTGGAACAAACTCCCGAGTACAGTTATTCAGGCTAAAACGTTGTGCAGTTTTAAAAGTAGGCTAGATAAACACATGAGTGGGTGTGGGTGGGTGTGAGTTGGACCTGACTAGCTTGTGCTGCTGGGTCTGGTGCCGTGCTCCTTTGTTTAGTGGAGGTGACCAGACTGGGTGGGTCATTGGGCTAATCCGGGGTGTGTGGGTCATTGGGCTTATCCGGGGGGGGGGTCATTGGTCTAATTCGTGGGGGAACATGGACCTGCTCCGCATGGGTCAGTAGGCCTGTTGCAGTGTTCCTTCTTTCTTATGTTCTTATGTTCTTAGGTTCTTAATTACTCCAGATCGCAACAAGAATAGGTGGA